TACTAAATTTCCCATCAAAGTAGATTTGGTTACATTTAAAATTCTAAAAATTTGTCAAGATGGTATTAGATAATAATACTTTATTCCTTCAGTATTTATAAAAACCTTAAATACAGTCGAGTCGGCATAAGTCGACACTCCAAGGGGAAGTGAAATGTGTCAAGTTATCGGATATGACGACTAAAACAAAGTTGAAAAATTCACAAAACTACAATTAAGAAAATACAGCAGTGTTTTATACAGTTGTAGGGCAGGAAGCGCCACCGCGTGACCTTTTGCCCTCTGACCTCTCTTTCCTCCCGTTCTCCGAGATGGAAAGATATTTTTTCACTTTACGTTAGTTAACCTTCGGAGTCGATAACTGTGCATTTCTTGGATTTGTATTATATCTCGACACTATTGTAAATATCGCGTGGCCGATTCAAATGAAGTAAATTATTCGCCTGGACTAGTTTCTCAGTTAGTCTTTGCCGACGAACAAACGACGCAGAACACGTGGTCGAGGTCAACGTGGACATTGTGGACAAGGTCGGACTCAACCCAGACCAATTCCGCCTAGCATTGAAACGTGCAGCGTACGTACTTTAGCCACGCCGCTAAACTGGTGAGCAGGACGTGAGTCTTTCAACTCCATCCTAGATTAGCCTAGCCTGGTTCTAGGCCAAACGACGATGGCAATTTTTTCGTGAATGGTCGGTATTTGCTTGGCAATTGGGGTGGGGACTTGTCTCCCATCCGTTAGGGGTGCCGTATAGGAGTAGTCGTACCGGATGCTAGATCGGTTTTACCGGTTGAGGCGTTCAATATACTTTATCTGACTTTAACAGTATTTGATCATCCATCACAAGCACTAAAGTTGATTTCTACTGTAAATTCCTCAGCGATTTCCTTCGCTTGTTGTTTCGGTACCGGCCTCGACACAGGAAGATTCGATGAACGAATTTGCTTTAGACAACGTACTAGAGCATCTTCCACATTTTTGTACGGTGACTTTCTCTGGCGTTATCCAGACAGTCGTGTCGAAGGTCCAAGAAAACATTTCTTAATTTCCTCTTTTCTCTTTAGAATTTCCACCAGTGTTGTAGTTGAAAGGTTTTCTTGTTTTGAAAATTCGGCTTACGAAGTTTTATTACATTCAAATTCAGACACAAGTTCGTATTTTTCTTTCGGCGTAAGCATTGTTAGCTTTCCCATACTTATTTCTAACAGAAATGTAAAACACCTGCTACAAATAATGCGTGAATGAATAGTGATAAAATGCAAAATTATGTTCTTCTGTGATGTTGAAATACATTGCACATTTTTTTTGTTTACTTAATGTTATTTTATACACAAAAATACATTAAATGTTAAGGAATTTTTATTAATACAGTATGTATATATTTATTAATAAGTCGAATCCCCTCCAGAAAATAATGAGTTAACACCACACACCTTACAGTGGTGTGTGAACTCATGTTTTCAGGAGGGGAGTCGACTTTTCAGACGTCTAAACGAGTTTGGCACAGAAACGTATGTCGATTTATTCAGTGGTGACGAGATAAACGATGACAACATCGTTAAACTCGTCACTATTATTTGTATAAAGCGGAGTTTTTTAACATTAATGCCTATGAAAGTCTGTATTATTATTTAACGGATGATTGATATTTTGAATTCCTTTGCTGTGTATTTTTTTGCAGATGGCCCAGATTTGGAAGACTCGCCATAATTGTTATAATGTTAACAGGGATTATATTGTATATGGTTGATGTAGTTTCGAACAGATATTACGTGATGCTTGGAATACCTGCAGCTTATGAGTATAAACTTTTAACTTCTTTATTATTTGATAATGGATGAATTTATATTTTTATTTATTATTTTAGGAAATCTTATAAATATATAGTTTATAATTATTATAAACCATATTATTCCCATCTTGGTACTTATTGTTTTGGTGCTTTAATTGGAGATATATTAAGAAA